AGAGGTGTGAGATTATCATTCTGAAACATGTAACTGATTATGTGACCTTACAAAAAAAGTTCATTACCTTTTCACCGTAAAGCAATTTACTTAGAGAATTTTATCGACTGGCTAGAATTTATAACACTCAAATATACACTGTCACTCTTCAATGCCACTACCTAAATGTCAGGCATGTCTGTCTGGAGCTCAGTCTTTTAGGTACAAATATTTAAAGTAATAAAAACTCAGTGCAGTCTTTTCTCTTACATTTATTCCCAATTTTTGTTCTCCATCTCCTTCTCCCTCTCATTTCACGCACACACACACAATCACCATCACATATCAACATTCGAATTCATCACTATAAGTGAAGCAAAGCTGATCTAGGAAAACCACAGAAAATGTAAGTTGTAGGGAACATGAGCAACTAAATGTCGAGGAAGAAAAAGAAAAAGAAATAATTGAATGTTATAATCAACTGTTTTTCTCTTATTCCCATATGCTATTTATTTTGAAACAACATTATATATTTATGGCATTTGATTTTTTCTTTTCCTCTTACATTTCCCTCTTTTTTGCTTTTCTTTCTCCCCCACCTCCAGGAGATTGGGAGGTGAGTGTCAATGGGGGGACAGTGGAGGAGGAGGTGGAAACAGGGAGTCTCTTAAGACTATTTCTCTCTGCCTGCCCTCCCGACAGGCCATCAGTGTGAGCTGCTGTCCCCCTGCACCCTGAACCCCTGTGAGCATGGGGGCCACTGCGAGTCTGCCCCTGGCCAGCTGACTGTCTGCTCCTGTCCCTCTGGCTGGCAAGGTACACAAACTACTTCTTTCTCTTCCTCCTCCTCTCCTTCATCTTCTCTGAACCCTGCCCCATACTGGGTGATGCTGGGGACCCAGAGGAGGACTCACCCCCAGCTCTGCCTTTGAGGGCCTCTTCCTTCTAGAAAAAGATAGCTGGACACAGATACAGCCCATGTGGGTCACCGTTGAAGAAGAGGAGGGGATGTGGGGCTAGGGATGCTAGGACTCAGGCTGAGGGTCTGGGGACAGCTTCCTGGAGGAGCAGACCTCAGAGTATGCATTCACTATCCATTGAGACAGGGAGAAGGAAGTTCTGGAACAGCATATGCAAAACTCCAGGAGGCAAATGACAGCATGTCCTTGCCTTCAGCCATCTCAGCCTGCAGGTTCTTCCTGAGCCCCAGGCACCCCCTAACTCTAGGTGTGACCTTGCTCCCCACCCCCAGGCCCACGATGCCAGCAGGATGTGGATGAATGTGCTGGCCCCTCACCCTGCGGCCCTCATGGTTCCTGTGCCAACCTGGAGGGGAGTTTCAGCTGCACCTGCCACGGGGGGTACACTGGCCCTTCCTGTGATCAGGACATTGATGACTGTGGCCCCAGTGAGTGCAGCGGAGCTCTTGGGGGTGCTGCCCGAGGGACCACATTGATCTGTGTGCCTGGCACTGTGCTTGTATTTCACCTTTACAGCTCTTACTGTTTTCATTTTGCTTATGTGAAAACTGAGGCCCAAGGAGGTTAAGTGACTCACACAAGGTCACTAAGTAATTAAGGTGATGAGCTGGGCTTGGAGCACAGGTCTGTCTGACTCTGAAGCTTGTGCACTGCCCCTAAGAGTAAGCAAGTCATAACTGTGCCAGGTATGAGATAAAAGCCCCCAGAGAGCTCTCCAGGAGCGCTGTCCCATAGACAAGGCCAAGCCCCATATGCAATTTAAAATGATCTAGTAGCCACGTGAAAAATGTAGAAAGAAAAGGGTGATATCAAATTTCATATACTTAAATTTTAGTTATTACATATAAATAACATATTTCATTTAACCTGATATATAAAAATAACATTTCAACTTGCAATCAGTATAAAAATTAATTAGATATTTTACCTTTTTTTTCTTACTGTCTTTGAAATCCAAAACTCGGTGTGTCTTTTACACTTCGAGACCATCTCAATTCGGACCAGGCACAATTTCAAGGGCTCAGTAGCCACATGTGGCCGGTGGCCACAGTGCTGGCCAGTGCAGGTCTGTGCTAAGCCCGGGAAGTAGAGCAGGCATAACTACTAGCATGTGTTTGGCAGCTGGAAGTGTAAAAGACATGCTGGGTACCATTTAGCTCTCCCAGCCTCCTTCTCTTTCCACATAGGTGTGATTTCCAGATAAGGCGGGGGCAGGGGGTGGGGATGAGACCACAGAAGGGGACAGAGTTTGACCCCGGTGACCAAAAGTGCCCCCTCCCAATTGAACCTGGTTTTCTTCCGAGTTCCCCTCTATGCAAGGCCTGGGCGGGACAGACTGGGCTGTGTGGGGGCAGGTGGGCAAGGTGAGTGACCAGACCTCCTTCCTCCTGTCCGTAGACCCGTGCCTGAATGGCGGCTCATGTCAGGATGGGGTGGGCTCCTTTTCCTGCTCCTGCCTTCCGGGCTTCGCTGGCCCACGCTGCGCCCGCGATGTGGATGAATGCCTGAGCAGCCCCTGCGGCCCGGGCACCTGCACCGACCACGTGGCTTCCTTCACTTGCACCTGCCCACCGGGCTATGGGGGCTTCCACTGCGAGAGGAACCTGCCCGACTGCAGCCCCAGGTGGGCGGAGCCTCTACTTGGAGCTCAGGGACTCTGGCGTCAGATGGTGGGGACATCAAGGGTGGGGTCCTCCTCTCGGCACTCACCTAAAGACTGATGACAGATGGGGCAGAGCCGAGATAGGGGTAGGGCTTCTGTGTGGAGGTCACCTTAGAGAGGCTGGTCCTTGAGGGGGCGGGGCCTCCACGTGGCTCCCGCCTTAGCGCTGAAGCACCTGGTAAATTGGGCTACGGAACGCCCTCTGCTGGGGCTGCAGCATCTCGTGGGGGCACGGGTCAGAGTGGGAGGCCCCCAAAGGTGAGAGGGATCCAGGAGGAGGGCGGGGCCTGTGAGGGGGCGGAGCCTGACCCCTTCCGCTCCCCCTCCCCCAGCTCCTGCTTCAATGGTGGGACCTGCGTGGACGGCGTGAACTCGTTCAGCTGCCGGTGCCGCCCCGGCTACACGGGCGCCCACTGCCAACATGAGGCCGACCCCTGCCTCTCGCGGCCCTGCCTGCACGGGGGCGTCTGCAGCGCGGCCCAGCCCGGCTACCGCTGCGCCTGCCCGGAGGGCTTCACCCGCACCCAGTGCCAGGTGGGCGGGGTCACTGGGGTCCTGGGGGAGGAGTCCGCAGGGGTGTCCTGGGGAGGGGACTGCCCCGGGTCCTGGGAGAGAAGCCGGGGCACGGTTTCTGACGCTGAGGGTGTCCCCTCCAGACGCTGGTCGACGGGTGCAGCCGCGCGTCCTGCCAGAACGGGGGTCGCTGTGTCCAGACCGGGGCTTATTGCCTTTGTCCCCCGGGCTGGAGCGGCCGCCTCTGTGACATCCGAAGCCTGCCCTGCAGGGAGGCCGCAGCCCAGATCGGTGAGGCGGAGGGTGCGGCTGGGTGTGTGGGGCTCCGGGGGTGTGTACACGCACCTCTTGCTAGTGAGCCGAATAAGGGTAAAATGGGGTGTGTGACAGCCAGCCAGGAGGCTGTGTGTGTTTGTCACCATCAGACAGCTGGGATGGTGTGTGTGTGAGACCGTGCCAGCTGGGGGTGTGAGTGACAACCCGGTGGAGTGTGGGTGAGTGTAGTGGGTGAAAAATCTTGATTCTCATTTGATTTTAGAATAAGGTTTTTAGGTAAATGCATGTATGGGGCAATAGCCCTCGGACAGGGGGCCACAGCCCATAGATAGCGTGGCCAAAGCCCATGTAGTCAACTCTTAATCACTGGTTAGGTACGGGATTGAGCACTTTAATTATTTTAGGGATCACAGGTGGTTGTCATACCGGTCCTGTTAAGAGATTTTAAGAATTGCTGAAGGGAAAGTTGTGGAAAAAATGTTTGCTAGGGACAAGCTGTCTGTTGGCGGAAACCTTAGAGATAATTGTATTTAGATTTTATCATGAGTGTAACTTTTGTTTAAGGAGAGGTCATACTTCAGATAATGAGTCAGTTTGACTAATTTAGCTCTTTTTATTAATTGTACTTTGGAATGTTACTTTAATTTACTGATATTACTAGTTTCCATTGTTAAGCTATACTTAGCCATGGACAACTTTTGTAACATTGCCTATGTCCTTATGTCCTTCTTCGATGATTGAATCAACTGATTTTTCTCGTAAAACTTCCTTGTCTTGTCAATAAAAAGAAAGGCTGATTTTGGATCAGGGCTGCTCCCCTGATGGGTGGCAGTCCCTCCAGGCCTCATTGATGGTATTTTGAGCGAATTCTTTCTTTCTTGTTTCTCCGTCTCAGTTACACAGAGGAAAGTGTAACAGGTGAGCCCCTGGGAACTGATGCCAGCAGGGATGTTGAGTGATGTGTGCAATGGGGCCAGAAAGAGGGGAGAGGGTGTCGCCGCCTCTGTGCCTGATGCCCGTGTCCTCTTCTCAGGGGTGAGGCCGGAGCAGCTGTGTCAGGCGGGCGGGCAGTGTGTGGACCAGGACAGCTCCCACTATTGTGTGTGCCCGGAGGGCCGCACGGGCAGCCACTGTGAGCCGAGGTGGACCCCTGCTTGGCCCAGCCCTGCCGGCATGGGGGCACCTGCCGCGGCTACATGGGGGGCTATGTGTGCGAGGTAAGGGTGCACCCCAGGACAGGAAAGAGGAGCTGGTCATGCCTGATACGGGTATGTCTGCCTGTGTCTGGGCACATGTTTCCGTGTCTATGGCTTGGCGTGGGCATGTTTCTCTCTAGGTGTGTCTGGGTTTTTGCTTTTGTAAATCTGGGTGTATCGTTGTGAGTGTCACTCTGGCTAGATGTTGGGTGTTTGTGTCTGAGTGTGTCTCTGTCTTCGGTTGTTTCCGGGGTATGTCTAAGCGTGTCTCTGTGCGTGGGTTCTCTTTGGGCATCTCTGCATCTCTGGTTGTGTGTCTTGGGGGTATCTGGGTGTTTTCCCCGGGTATTTGCATGTGTGTGTCCCTCTGCACTGGGTGTGTCTGTGGCCCTCCACGTCTGGGTGTGTTTCCTTTCACTGGGTGTGTCTGTGTCTGTGTTTGTCATGCACATTGGGCTTGTGTGTGTTGGACGTCTTGTATGGGTCCTTTTGTGCTGGGGTTCTCTGTGTCTTCATGAGGTATGTCCAGGTATGTCTGTGTCCCTCTGGGTTGAATGGGTCCCTCTCTCACTCCACTGAAGTGTCCGGCTGGCTACACTGGTGACGACTGTGAGGACGACGTGGACGAGTGTGTCTCCCAGCCCTGCCAGCGCGGGGGCTCCTGCATTGACCTCATGGCTCGATATCTCTGCTCCTGTCACCCTGGGACGCTGGGTATGCCAGGGCCAGGGCTGGGGGACAGGATGGGAAGCTGAATCTTTATCCCCTCCTGACTACTCCCCCCTCCTCCCTTCCTCCAGGCGTGCTCTGCGAGATTAATGAGGACGACTGTGGCCCAGGCCCTCCCCTGGACTCAGGCCCCCGCTGCCTACACAATGGCACTTGTGTGGACCTGGTGGGTGGCTTCCGCTGCTCCTGTCCCCCAGGGTACACCGGTATGCGCTGCGAGGCTGACATCAACGAGTGTCGCTCGGGTGCCTGTCCCTGCAGGACCCAGGTGGGGGCTCCCGCTGCCTTTGCCATGCTGGCTTCACAGGTAAGCATAGGAGAAGGCACTGGCCTGGGACCCTGCCTGTCGTTCCCGCATTGTGGCTGATCCATCTGTCCTGCTCGCCCAGGTCCCTGCTGTCAGACTGTCCTGTTTCCCTGTGAGTCCCAGGCATGCCAGCATGGAGGCCAGTGCCTGGGTCCTGAGGGTGGGCTGACTTCCACCTGCCACTGCGTCCCGGTAGGTGTGGCCTCTGGGAGAAGAGTGGGGGCGTGGCCTCCGGGGAGGGCGTGGCTTTAGGGGAGCAGGGGTGGGAGGGAATGTGGTTCCTGGGATACACTGAAGTTACCTGGAGGTTTGAGGGGAGAGGGAGTGAGGTTGGGCTTTGGAGGCGAGGGCTCCTGGGGAAGGCGGGGCTCATCTGCAAAGTGGGGCCTCCGGTGGAGAAGGGAGAGGTCGGGAGCGACATGGGGAGGCTGGGGGCTCACCCTCTCCCAAGTCCTGACCCTCACTCTTTCCTCTCTCGACCCTCGCTCCTCTTCCCCGTCCTTCCATTTCCCTTCCTCCTTCCCTCCTCTTCCCCTACTCCGCTGTTTTCTGTCTTCTCCCCACCCGACCGCCAGCCGTTCTGGGGTCC